CTCGTGCATTCTTCATCGAAACAGCTCGGTTTTTCACTGCAGACCAGTGAGACTGAGGGCTATAAGCAGGACTTTTACTTCGTGGCAGACCAGGGTGTACTTGCGTAATGTGTGGAACTTGAGAATATGAAAAAAGCCAGATGTCTAATCTCTGAATAACCTTTTCATTGTACTTCACCTCCCCCCCTCCCGTATAGTTTCCAAAGCAAGCCTGTATTAATATCAACTGTGGTGATTTCATCCATGTCAATCTTCTTACTAATCATGCTTTTAAACTTTATAAAAACCTTCAACGTCTTGTGAAAAAAATAAGTATAAAAGTATTTCTGTATGCAGAGGGAACAGCACGGAAAAAACATGATTTACATATCTAGGAAAAGTGTTTGGCAGTTTGCCTCCACTTCATATTAGACTTTGCACTGCTGAGTACAGAAGTCTGGAAAATGTATATATATAATTTAAATTCCAACTGGTGAGCCAGTTGTGGGTTGGAGTGGAAGGATTCACTTTAGAAGGGTAACAGTCACCACTGGATTAATGTTGCTCTCTTCTGTGGGTTGTAGGTGTTCATTCAGGGCAACCCATTGGAGAGATTATTTGTTTCAGACTGAAGAAATTAAATTCTTCATATGTAATAGCTGCAGAGCAGCTTGGGAAAGTGGTGATATATCACATATGACACAAGGGTGAGGCAGCACAGCCCATAGGGATTATGACATATTGCTGTGAATATTCAGAGCTGTTCTTTCCAAAATAGCAGAACGCTGCTGTACCTAGAAAAGTCATGAAGGATAACTTTTAGTCTGAGAAATACTGATTTGAGAGGACACTAAGAATTATTTAAAGATTATTAATTTATTGAACTGTAGGAATGTCTGAACCAAGAAAGAGCAGGGAAAGCATTTCAGCCTCCAGCCTCCCTCTTCTCCTTTCATAAGAAGTTGGTGTCTGTCTCTGATACACCTTTGAGAAAGAGGGATTTTTTTAGCTACTTCTGAACAAGTATGTAGACCTGAATTATCAAAGCAAATATGCAGTAACTTGATTCCCAGTGCAGCTGATCCTTAAATGACTGGTCTGTGTACCACATAAAAAGAAGTCATTTATGATACAAAAAGCTTACTTGACTTTGACCTCTGTTCTGAGTGAAAGATCCTTTTTTTTTATCAATCCAGTAAATCATACCTGATTAGAATAGAGCTTTCTAAAGTAGCTTAATTTACTCCTTCAAAAAGGAGCATTCATGGGGCTTTGAGCAATGTGGTCTAGTGGGAGGTGTCCCTGCCCATGGAACTAGATGATCTTTAAGATCCCTTCCAACCTAAGCCATTCTATGATCAAAAGGAAAAAACAAATGTTTTCTAATACTTTTGGCCACATCACTCATTGCATCAGTTGTACTTGTATGAAGGTGAGGAATTTTGTAAGCCCCAATTTTTGATGTATGTTAAGTAGTGTGTGGGAAAGGAAGAGGAGGTAGTTGCTTAATTTAAGTTTCTGCAGTCCATCTTTCATTACTAGAGTTCCTGCTGAGATCTGTTGAGAGCTTGTGCATGGGCAAAAGTTACTCTGGAAGGTGTCGAGCTACTCAGTGTCGCATGCTCTCAAAATTCATCAGAAAATGGGGAGCTATGTCAGTAGAAAACAAACTTTGTCTATATGTTGCTGCTTCTCACACTGATGGGAGTCTGGAGCCACATGTTGAGGGACAGTGTCAAAGAAGCCATGCTTTGTGGCTGGCTTTCTAAACCCACCAGATTTGAAAGATGCCTGTATTGCCTATTAATTTATGAATGAACAAATAATAATTATGGCTTTTAAAAAATCTGAACTCTCACTGAATACAGAGTATGTATGTCTGGCAAGAAATCTTTAATCTCTTTGGGTAAAGCACAAGGGATTTGGAAAAAATACAACTAACTCCAGAGTCCGAGTCCCTCTTCTCCGAAAAGCCTGCTGACTGTTTATTTGACAGTAAATGAGAACCTGACACAATTTAAAATAAATAAATAAATAAATAAGCAGGAAATCTATTCTCAGCTAAAACGTTTCTGAAAGGTAATACCATCTTTTATGTGATTGAAAATATAATTAATTACTTTGTGTCAGCAGTGCTTTTGGTAACTGGGCTTGAACTGATTTTTTACTGTCTTGTCCTAGATCCTTCAGGACCACAGACTCTTACTTCCCAAATCAAATATGCCAATATGAACAACATGGATTATTGACATTAAAAACACTGTGCCATCAAAATATAGTTTGAGATTCTCAGGCAAATTTTGGTACTGTTTACTTGTTAATCACTAAGCCAAGGGTATTTTTTTAGTATCTTGCCTGTAGCAGTAGCTGTATTTCAGTAGAAATTCAAACAAAAGGATATGAAACACATCTATCTTTCAATCCCCTAGAAATGTAGCATTCTTGTAAACACAACTGTAATATAAAATTCTGATTTAACTCAGCTGTAATGGTCCCATTGAAAGCAGAAAAACATGTGAAACTTATGTTGGGAAAGTGTAAGAGATTCTAGAGAAAGCAGCAATGCCAGATCCAACTACATACGCACTTTAAAATGAAAGATAAAGATGCCACAGGGAGAAAAGCAGTCTTGAGGCAATCCTAGAAATGTCATGACTTATGATAATTCTGTCCCTGACATTGCAGAAATTTTTTGCAACTCTCAAAATTGTGAAATAATTACTTGTGGGAAATTGCTTTTTTCAGATGATAACTGTCATTGTTTCTTTATATAAAGCTCAGTCATGCTTGTATCATAGAGAGGAGAAGATGATCTTCATTCTGCTCAAACATTTTTACAGGCTTAATGCAGAGAATATTGTCTCTCTTCAATACAGAAAGCTGGAAAATTCACTGTCCTCCTGTAGCTTACTCTTCAAACAATTTGAAAGAAGAACATTTCCTTTCAAATAATTTCCTGCAGTGGTTTCTGAGGCTTGTTCAGAAAGGGATTGTCATTTGGTGTGATAAGGCTGTAGGAGATTTTATAAATGAATGGTTTATAAGTGAGTATCAAATCCCTGTTCTGTCTAGCCAAACTATACACCCTTGAGTACCCATAAGTCATCCTCTGAGTAGTCCAAAACTGCTTCAATCTGAGAATTTTTCATAGTTTTGTGTTTGGAAAGCTTAATAAAGCCCCAAATAAAATCTTAATCTTAATTTAAACTGGATTAGAAGTTTTCAGCCTCCCCACACTGTATTTGCTTACCTTATTCAGCTGTTACTTACAGCTCTTCATTAGAATTCAGATTTGTCTCTGCTAAATTCAGATGAATAAATTAGACTTCATTACACATAACTTACTATTAATTGAACAGACACCAAAAAAAAAAAAAGCCACAGACTCTAATGACTTATTTACATTTTCTAAGTAAATTGTGATGATATTCTGTGTATCGATTTTCTGTACACCTTCTGAACACAGATGATGCTACAGAGCAGAAAAAAAGGAAATGGTCCATTACATGCCATTCCGTTTATTCGTGAACAGGACACTTTGACCAAGTTTCTTTACTATTCTATTGAGTGTCCAAAGAGAAGGAATATTTCAAACGTTATTTGACAGTAATTAAACATATTCCAGAATTGGCATGTTTTGTAGAAATCATTAGGCAGTTAATCTCCATATTTGTGAAAGATGTACTCTAGAGTATGCAGAGATAAATTTAGTAAAATTAGCACAATTAATTTGTGTCGATTTTTATTGAGAGACAAGGCCTGATCATGAGTTGAGCAGCACAAAATATGTTTGACCCTAGCTTTATATTGTCTGTATTCTCTATGGCCCCATGGTAAAGGTGGGAGTTCACTCGCCTGCATGTCTGTATTGGGAATTTGATGGTAAGGAGCTTTCTCAACTTTAAGCACAGTGAAGCCTTTGCCTCACTTACAGGCAGGCCTACATGTACACAGTTTTATATAATCTATATACAATTACCTCCTTTACTCTAATCACAGCTCTGTTAATCAAAGTGTAAAAATTGTTCTTCAGCTTTTGTGAAAAAAATAAACTATTTTTTAAAAACAAAGAGTTTGAAACAGGAATATAGAAAAAATGCTATAATTATTCTGATAAAATTTTTTGCAATTTTTTGGAGTCATACGTTTTTACTGCAAATCCTTTGGAAGCTGTCAAGAGTGTCCTGAAAATGTAAAATGTTTCCTATCTGCAACTGAACCATCCTCCAGCCAAGCATTTTGTAAAATACTTGAATAGAAAATAGACGTGAAAACAGTTCAAGTAAATTTGCTTTAAATGTTCGAACACCTTTGTTATTATTTTCACCACTTAATGCCTTTTCCTTGTCTTATGTAGGCATGTTAAATGTAATTTCTTAGTCTCTTCCTAGAAATTGAGTGTAGATGGGGTATGTTGCAACATTTTAGTCTTTGAAAATCTGTAATGTAGTTTTGGTTCTCACTTTTCTGCTTCCTGTAGTCTTTCAATGCAGAACATCAACTGTTCCAGTACTACAAAATGACTGATTTGGGTCAGAATTGCTCTAAAGTACGAAGTGGTATCATGGTCTCATTTTTGCTGTACAGGAACTGTATGTACAGCACTGAAAATACTGTTATGGAACTCTTAATTGTATGCAGTTTGCAAAGAGTAGCTGAAGCTCCCTGCAACGATGTGTGTGGTTTGCCAGATGACAAAAGACCAACTAAATTCGTATAAAGTGAGAAGCATTGCTGTTTGTGAGCCTGTTATTATTCAGTGCTATGTCTTGATCCAAGTGAAAATGGCTATGTGTGACCTATAGTCTCCGAAGGCAGCGCAGATGTGCATAAATAAGGGGTAAGAACTGCTCAGCAGAATTACAACAGCTGTGTTCATTTCTCACATCAATTTTTGATCAGACTTCTGAACTGTCTTTGTTGAGGAAAATTGCAGTTCCGTATGAGAACGCATGAGCTGTATTGATATCAGGTCAATCTCTGCATCTCTTTAAGATTTTGTTTTGTATGTTGCCTCTCAGGTTGGTACAAGAGGATGTGGGAATGGACATCCCCTTTTCTGAGGGTGTATTAAGCCCCAGTTCCACAGAGATGAGACCCGGTAAGAGAAGCTCTTATTCATTTTCTTAATTATATCTTACTCCCTTGGCATTTAATTATGCAGTGAGAAGGATGTTTCTGTGCTGGTAAAGAATAAGTTCAGTGTTAAACAGGAAAAGTGTTCAGTTCGCTTTATTTAGTCAATTTGCTTCTTCACTTGAGAAATGATAATTGTAGTGTGCCATTTTCTCTTGTGTATTGTTATCATCACTCGTTTAGTCCTTGCGATGTTTAAGTCATCTCTATTATTTATCTTATATTTGACTGCTGTCTAAGTGGACTAAGTTAGTATTGGAATACTTCAGACTGAACAGCTTGAAAAGTGCCACACAGTGCAGGGGCAAGGGGCAAAGCCATGCCTAGCTTTTGCCTCGTTGAAGACTACTTTTATTTAGGACCCATTAAGAGACTCAGAGGTATTTTTATTTCTATTACTGTGTTGAATAAGATATTGTATAGTTAAAACTGAAGACATGGCTACCTGCAAATCATCACCATTTGAATAGCAGCAGGTGTATAAGAAATACTTACAGGGCATTACACTCATACAAATTTCTCTAGGATTCGCCAATGTCTTGTTTCACAACTAAAATGATTTGCGTATTGCTGCTTAAATTCTTAAACAATCTGGGTCAGAGCATGTCCAAGATTTCATTTTCGTCTGTGGATTGCAAGAAAACCTGGATTTTGCATCATTTAAGAGCTCATAGCTACATCTGCCATTGCTGTAGATGCTTGTTTTATTCTTCTAAATATTAATGTTGATATTTATGGTTTATGTTAAGTGGTCTTAAATGGCTTGGTGTTACTAAAATTGATCTATCCCAGTGTGTTTGAAGGTGATTCTTAAGTATCTGGCAGATTACTTGTGTGCGGAGGAGATTAAATTCTTTTTTTCTTCCTCTTTTTTCAGAACCTCCCAATTCTCTTGATCTTAACGGTTCCCATCCCAGAAGGATAAAGCTCACTGCTCCAAATATCAACCTCTCTTTGGACCAGAGTGAAGGGTCTATTCTTTCTGATGATAATTTGGATACTCCAGATGAAATTGACATCAATGTAGACGACCTTGACACTCCTGATGAAGCAGACTCTTTTGATTACACTGGGCAAGGTAATGTTCTAGAATGAAAATGTAGAGCTCATCTCTCTCTCTTTCTTTACTGCTTACGTGATAAGTCTCATGTCTGTCGGGCTATGAATATGCTTAAAGCATTTGAGACTTAATGCTAGGAGTCCAGATATTTTTACTGCCTGCTATATTTCAACCTTTCTTCCCATATGTAAAGAAATGCTTATGCAGAGAGCTGAAACCCAAGAGGTTTAGGACTTGAGAGGTGATTGTCCCCCTGTACTGGGCACTGGTGAGACCCCACCTCAAGTATTGTGTCCAGTTTTGGGCCCCTCACCACAAAAAAGACATTGAGGTGCTGGAGCGGGTCCAGAGAACGGCAATGAAGCTGGTGAGGGGTCTGGAGAGTAAGTCTTATGAGGAGAGGCTGAGGGAGCTGGGGTTGTTCAGTCTGGGGAAGAGGAGACTGAGGGGAGACCTTACCACTCTACAACTACCTGAAAGGAGGGTGTAGAGAGGTGGGGGTCGGTCTCTTCTCCCAAGTCACAGGAGACAGGACAAGAGGAAATGGCCTCAAGTTGCACCAGGGTAGGTTCAGGCTGGATATTTGGAAACAATTCTTCACAGAGAGAGTGGTCAGGCATTGGAATAGGCTGCCCAGGGAGGGGGTTGAGTCACCATCCCTGGCTGTGTTTAAGAACCGTTTAGATGTGGTGTTGGGGGATATGGTGTAGGGGAGAACTGTAGAGTAGGGTAGATGGTTGGACTCGATGATCCCGAGGGTCTCTTGCAGCCTAGATGATTCTGTGATTCTGTGAAAGAAATAGTACAGCTGACCAAATAAAGTGAGAAGAGCTACGTAGAGAGAATTAATTTCGAAGTCCTGTTTTTGTCCAGTATGCTAGGACTTGCCTGAAAAGAGTTGTCCAAGAAGCAGAAGGCAGTTGCTGTCTGTTGTGGAGAACGCTGTAGCGAACTGCACATTCGTGCAGCTCTGGCCAGCTCTGGATTACGCTTACATCTATAGCACTTGGGCATATAACCTTGTGTGAAGCATGTTGGCTGACATAATCTGCACCAAAGAGCTTGCAGTGTGTAAATGAAGTAGACACAGCGTTGTGGAGAGGTCTGTTGGTAGTGAGAGTGTTGGTAGTCATTTTATAGCCATGGAGAGCTGAAACCAGGAAGGTGTGCGCATGGCATGATAAAGGTAGCTTAGATGATGGAGCTGCAGAATTCCTCATTCCACCAATTTAAATATGCTCTCTCAGCAGGACTAGTTGCACACGGTATACACAGTGTGCACAATGGATATTTCATGCTTCCTGTAAAGTTGCTTTGCGCTGTCTCACTCCCTGTACTTACCCTTACGATGTACGAAGTAGGGTGTTAATGCTCATTGCTTGCTAGTACTTTAAGAGCCATGTAAGAACTGTATTCACTAATATAAATGCATAAAAATCGTAAGTTATTTGAGGGGAAAATGAGTGTGACCATTTTACAATCTACAACAGAAAAAAATCTTCAAAAATGGATCAATTTAAATGGAATTTTCCCTTGCATTTAAATTCTCTGTTGCTAGTGAGGTCACTGTAATTTAAAAATTGCATGGTCTTTTGAGCATACAAGAACAGTTGCATCAGTTCAAGTGATATTGCTAAGGAGGCATTGCTTTGTATTCAATCATGCATGAGCGTCTCTAATGCCACTTCTCATTAGAAGGCCAATTTCCTTATGGGTATCTGCAGATCGCAGCGGTGAGTTGCTCGATGGTTAGGATCTTTTGTAGCAAAGGTTAAAACTAACACACACACACACACACAGAGCAGTGTGTGCTTGCAGTTTTAGAGTGTTGTGGCCACTGTGTGAGAGCAAAAAATTCTGTCAGCAGCGGAACAGATTTTGCCTTTAAGCCCTCAAGTAAATAAATTCAACTCCAGTGATTTTGGTGGCAGTTATATTTATGGCAAGGATTTCTCCCCAGCTTTTTTTATTGCTTTCTACACGTAATGATTCATTTCTTTGTCAAGGTCGAACCAGTTTCCCTGAACTCCTAAGTGAAGAGGAACTCAAGGTGCCTGTCTTTTTGGTGACATTTTTACAGTTGTGTAGTGTGATTTGAGACATAATTAATCGACAAAATGTCCTCCACGTAGATGACCCAGGAGCACAGAGTAGAAAAGGAAAAAAAAATATCACATTTTATCAAAATAGGCCGGCAATAAAATAAGTAGGCTATATATTACATAAGTCTGATAGCTAAAGCATAGTCATAAGAGCTAGTGCAGAATGGTTTATTTGCATGGCAAATAGCCTTTGTTACCTTTGTATTTCTATCATTCTGCTATTAACCAGTATGTGCTCTGCTGTTACCAGCGCTCACAATCTCCCACAGATCAGTGTTTCTAGACTGCTGTGCCAAGCCCAGAGAAGTAAATACTGAAAAGACACAGCTGTCAAGATTGTAAAGAATAGTGAGTTTTAGCTTGTGACTTCAGCTCAGGCTCCTGAACGTCCATTTGAACTGTAAAAGGTAACTGAGAAAAGCAAGACTGTTGGCATGATTCAGGGGTCCGCCTTATTGCTGGAAAACTGTAATACAGGAAATATTGAAGCCCATTTGTTTAAAAGAACGATGAAGAAGATCATCACAATTGCCATGTGCAAGAAAATAGATGAGCGTGGAAATACTAAAATACTTGTCTTAAGCTGGCACCTAACTTATTTAGGGATTGGTCAATCATCAGTTTCACAGGGGGTTTTTTGGCACTAATACCTTGCATTTAAACATTCTCTTTCAGAACTTCCTGTTGTTTCTGAAATGAGCTTTTTATTATTATTACATTAGATGACATGAAAATTGCTTTTCTGAAAAATGTGTGCATATAGGTGAATGCCTGCCCCCAGTCAGCATTATTTGGAATGCAAAAGAGTGTTTATTGTTTTGTCTGCAGATGTTTATTTTCTGTCTGAATTTCACACTGGCTCATCTTTCTCTGCAAAATCAACACAACAGGCAGTAAAGCATAGACGCTTCTTCAAGAAGAGGTGATCTAGTGCTATTTCTATCAAAAATAATTAAATTGGCCAATTCCGGCACTATAAGTTTTATCAGGATCTCTTTTCATCGTTTTTCATCATTTGCAGTTTCATCAACAACAAAAAAATTACCAAACCACAAGTACAATTACCTTTACAAGATTAACATCATACAAAATTGCATTAATATATCTAGGTTTGGAGGGAGCAGTGTTATGCATTTTGTAAGCTTGTTCCCAATGTCACAGAATATGTAATATTTCAAAACTGAATGCTAAGTGTATTATTAAACATCATGACATTGTACCCCGAGAAGGCATGAATACGTACTTCGGTTCTGCAATATCGAATCTACTAAGCAGCAATTAGTAAATCAATTTGAAATGGTATACTTGAAAAAAAATCATCTTTTGCAGTCTGTTCTTCTTTCTAGCCTTCCATCTCCTCAAATTCCCTTTATTTGCAGTTCCTAAGAAAAAAGGGTTATGTGGTCACATTATATATGCACATATATGTATTTCTTGATCTTCCGTCCCTTTTTCCACTACTAATACAATTTTACTTGAATATGTTTATAACTCATTGGCTGATAAGACAATGAGGTAGGAGGTAAAATATTGTTGATTTCTTGCAAGATTCCAGCAAGCACAAATCAGGTAAAGAAAAGAATTGGTGATAGACTCAGCTTTTATTGCACTTGGGAGAACTTGCCACAGAAAGGATGACCTTCCATCAGTATCATTCGCTAAGAATACTTTTTACTAAGGACAGAGAATATAAGACAGGCAGCAGTAGAAATTCAGACTTCATTAGTATTACTGTAACAAGAAATGTATGCTCAACTTAATATATGTAATATTTAAAACGTTCAAAGCTTTTTTGTGTGCTTTGAAGAACTCAATATTTCTAAAAAATTTGGTGGAATTATTGATGGCTTTTAATGCAAAAATCAGTTTTACAAATAGTCTGAACATATTGTGTATATTCTAGTAGGTTCTATATGTGTAGACATATGTGGTATATACACAGTATACTATCTTTTTTTTCTGATTTTATAAAGATAGTAATTTTAATTCTTAAGGTAAACTGATGTGTTTTAAGGATCAGATACTTCCATTTGCAGCATTAATCAAAGAGGCAGCCCAAGATAAACCAACATAGAAAGGTTTGAGGACTTCTATGAAACATTGTGTTCTTCACTTCTTGTCAATTAAAATAACTTTGAGTTTATTCCTGACTTTTGTAAATCTCTCTGGTATTTTCAGATAAGATGTCTGATCAGCTTTTCATGTACACACATGTATGTCATCATGTATTTCACTGTATCTTTGTTTACTGTTACACTGCTTACTGACTTACATGGTCAAATTCTGCTTTTACTACGACTGCAGAACCAGAAAAATACTTTGAAAAGAACAGTTGTTTTATTTGTTTACTTCAAACATGTGTAATGCATAAAATGTGTAAAATATGTACTATGAAGATAGATTAATAATATGCATATAGCCGCAAGTCACAGGTGCTTCAAGCAAGAATAATAGTATAAAACAGAGATTTTTTTTCTTTTTTCCCAATGGAAAAAACCAGTATGTTGTAACAATAAAGAAAGAAAGAAAGAAGTTAAATAATTCCAGCTGTGGGCAGAATCGCTTTTCACATCACTTTCACTGTAGCTGGCTATTAAGTTTGAAGAACTGGAATGCAGTTAAATTTGTTGTTAAGAGCCATCTTGTCAGTGTGCAATAGAAATGTGAATGTTGTTAATTACTTCACAGCTTTTCTCAAACCAAGAGTATCCAGCAGAGAGGCTGTGCTGTGTGACTTCCTAGTCTCTTGTCAGCCATGCAGCTTTTTCCCTTGTGATAATTGTGTCCGTGGACTTCACGTACCGTTCTCTCACGGGTGCTGGTATGAGCAGGCCAGATTGCTTGGCTGCTCTTCTTCTGGGAGGGCACTGGTATTTAACATCAATAGGCAAATACTGCAGTTAAGGTATATGAGAAGTCAGCATTATCTCACAACTGAAGCGGATGAATATGGGCATCCTTCATATTTGCTTGTGCCAGATGTGAAGACATTGGAGACAAATGTGGAAAAAGTCGAGAAGCTGTCGCTCTGCGGTAATTTCTCTCTAGACAAGAAGCATCAGTGTGTTCACTTTTAGTTCCCTATTTTGCTTTTCAGTATAGTTCTTCTAACTGCAACGCGAAGGCTTTTAGAGACCTACGGTGCAGTACTTCTAGTAAGCAGCTAGTTTAACTAACTGGATGCACAAATGTGAAAATCCCGTGGCAGTATTCTGCATAGTCATAATTGGTGCTGTTCTTTTTATGTTCATAATGATAAAAAGTTTGAAAAAATCCCAAAACTTCTCATTTACTGACTGTAAAATGATCAAATTCTGCTCTTATTTATACCAGAGCAGATGCAGCAAAAATGCAGTTGGTTTCAGTCATCAGTTTCAAATATGTGTAACAGAGAAAATATTTAGAGCTTTTACAGGAAGACGTAATACATTCAATTTTATTTTTCAGAAGAGCAGACTGCTACTAAGGATGCTTCCCAGGAGGAGTCTGAATCAATTCCAGAGTACACAGCTGAAGAGGAGCGAGAGGACAACAGGTTATGGAGAACGGTGGTTATTGGAGAACAAGAACAAAGGATTGATATGAAAGTCATTGAACCTTACAAAAAGGTCATTTCACATGGAGGTAGGAAAACCCTGAATGCAATTTTTAGTTTAATGTAAAAAAATCATACTTTATTGAGCATGATTTATTTCTATTTTAGTTCAGTTATTATACTGGCAAGGGGAGGGAGACTTTATTTTTCATCCATGGCTGAAATCAACCTGGCTTTCAATTCAGTGTGACAACAACTAATGAGTATTTTAAACACAAAGCAATTTCAGGAGCAACAAATAAACTGATATACATGTGTCAGTAACAATCTGGTCATTGTAGGCTCAAACTGTCTTAGAGTAAGGAAAAAAACTTTTGTCTTATAGAAAAAAAAATTGAAAACTTTATTCTGTGGATTTTGGCAGAAGCTTTTGCACAAGGAAGTATAGTGCTCTGTGATTTGTTGAATGACATATGAATGACAGATCTAAACAAGTAGACTGGAAAAAAAAAAAAAAAAAAAAAAAAGAGTTTTCCCTGGGGCTTCCATTCATCTGGCTAAGCTCCTTATGTTATTTTTCTGCCATTTATAGTTGTCAGCAGATAGGATTTCACCAGCAACTGTTTAATATGTTTTTTTCATGCAATTTGTTAATGGTTATCAAATAACACATCAAAGAAAACATTTACAGTAGGGAAGTGAACCTCATATACTTGGTATATTGTCTGCTTTGCTCATCTGCTCCCTAACTTCCTCAGATAATTTGTAGTTCTGGCGTTGCTAGCACATTTCTGTATAAATTAATTCAAATGTATACATATTACTAATATTTAATAATACTAATATTTAATAATAAATAGACAGTGAAGGAAGGAAATGAAACAAAGCTTTTTAAGTGCTGTTTCCATGCTGTCTCAGGTTTAGAGTATCTCTGGATTCTATATGTTTGGGGGACATTGTTTGCCAGCTGTTAAGTAGGGTGTTAAGTAAGGATGAGTTTTTCTATTCCTGCAAAAACTGAGCGAAGTAACTTAGCATCTCAGGGGTAAGATTTGTGAGTTCGTATGAGGATGCTTCTGTCAGAATGTTGCTGATCCGTAACATCATTTAAAGGTAAACCATTGTTAACCAGTGTATTTTCAGTTTTGAATTGCTATCTGGTAAAAGTGACATAAGTAAATTACGCTTAATTATATTACTTGAGGATGTGGTCCTCAAATTTGCACTTTTACATTAAAAAGCAGCTAAATGCTAGCCTGCAGATGTTCACAGTGACCAGTGTGCAGAAGGTTTAGTCAGAATTAATAGAGATGTTTAAACCTCCAGGCATTTTCCCACTATAACAACAACATCCAAGATTTATGAATGTATGACACCTCAGACACAGTTTAGCAAACAGACACAGATGGCATAATTTAGGAAACAAACATAAAATATTTTGAGGCCTTGCTGATGGTGTTTATTTATATGGTTTTTGTATGCTGTACACTAGTCTAGGTACATTCGTGGTGAAAATTGTCATGTACAGTTCCTACTAGATGCTGATGTATGAATTTATAGCAGCTTTTAAGAAAAATAAATACTGGTCCATTTTAATAAGTGGAGAAGTTGCTTTTAATTGAGCACTGCTTGACTGCTGAACAAGGACTGGTTCTAGTGGCACGCATCTCTGATGGCAACTGTGCATCAGTACATAATATTGTGCACTTATCGATGGAAGTCTAGGTCGTTCAGCTTGGTTCTCAGTGTAAAATAATCAGGATTCAAATTTTGCATGTCTGACATCTTGTTTTGTTAGATCACTCAAATCTTTCATAACAAACTTTATGTTTCCTTTACTTTTGAATGGGTGCTGCTCAGTAACTTGGCCCTTGTAAAAGAAATGGTGTGGGATGTAACGATAAGTTTCAGCCCACCGCTGGATATCCTAGAAATTTTGCCTGAAATCTAGCCATATCAAAACGAATTAAGGACTAGATTACATTCTTTGTTTATGAAGTGGCAGACTGAAGATGTAAAAATAAAATCATTTTGATGCATGGGTCAGAGGAAAACTTTAGACAGCTTGAACAGTTTCTGCAGTCCGGTGGCTAGGCCTATTCTGTATGATGTTCCCTTTGGCAATAGTTGAGTACCTTTGGAGTGCTTTGGAGAGCCAGAAATCCTTCCTTTAACCTCAAGATTAAGAACAGATTCTGGCTAAAATTAGTTATTTGCAGGTCAGGTTAAGCATCTCTTGATGATTCAGTGATCTACTGAACATTCCTCCCTGCCAAATGACAGATAACAGCAAGTGCAGAATCTAGAAGGTAGCCACAAAACAGGAAAGAGGAGAGTAGACTTGGCAGTCTAGGTGTGAGATTGCCTTCCACATATGCTGATGGAGACATTTCTTTGCAATCTGTCTCTGCATAGGCTGACAGGGAATTGGGGCAAATGGCTTTTACTGGCTTTGGGTGATGATTTAAAAAGCACCTCTCCCTTGGGTGAATATTTCTTGTCTACAAGCATGTGTAAGAAAAAGTGGCTTAGATTTCTCTGTGGGTTTTTCTTCTGTGTGCTCTTAGGTGGCATCTGCACATCACCGTTTTGCTTTACATGAACTGCAAACAGTGCTGTGTAGTTTAGTGGACACACCTGCCACGATGTGCTCACACTGCCAAACTCCTGAGCCAGCTGCACAAATTGCTTTACGGCAGCATGATATAAATTGTCCTGTCTTTTACAGATTTTTAAATTTATGGAAGGAAGGAAATCTCCTGCCTTTTTGTAAAGCTGAGGGGGGAAAAAAATACTGCTTTGGTCCGTAATGATTTAGCTGAGGGATGAGCTAGGATGGGATAGGTGAAGTGAGTACTGCCTTGTTGAAAGTATGTAGGTCCATTGAGAAGATGGAAATGTAGCAGAGATTAATATTAAGTGATGAGTGTGGGAGGTGGAGTTCTTTTCTCTTTGTTTCTTTTGAGAAGACTGGTATGTTCCTTCATGTCAAACTCTTAAAAGGTGAAGGTGCTGAAAACACGACTGGAGTTTCTTCCCCCTCCCTGTGTACATCCTTGCTAGAGAATGCAGTGCTATTCTTTGAATTTGACCTTGACATCTTCACTGGGACACCAAAGTCAGTAATGCACACATGTAACTATAGATACACTGTTCATGTGTACTGGATCCTAACATGAGCTGGAGTTATGACACACCATGCCACGTCACATGGTTTGAAGTGGTTATATCCACATTGGCTTGAACTCAAACCCTAGTCCTGAACTCTTCTGCTGTCCATGTCCTCCAGCAGGATGGAAAGCAACACGGCACTGTGGGACTGAAGGCAGTGGACATATGCTGGACTGCCGTTGTATAGTGGCTTCTCTAGATCTGGAAGCCCAGCTGTAGATTAGCTAGCCTTCGGTCTTTGAGCGCCAGAAAAAGGGCTACTTCACAGTGCTGGGAAGACAAGAGGTGCCAGGATCATGCAAGGACAAAATACTAAGGACAAATAGCTTCCTGCAGTGTCCAAATAATTCTTCAGTGGATAAGGTCTCGGCTAGCAGCATTCTCGACCCAGTGTTGGTGTTACCATCAGTAATACGTGTTATCAGCTTATCCAATGTATTATATTTTGTCAAATCTACCAAATTAAATTCAGAAAGAAAAAAACCCAACATAATCCTTCAGCAGGTTGCTTTTGCGGTTTGAGGTACAACAGAACCAATTTTCTGTTCAGTGTTTGTATATCTTAGCTGGGCCTCTTTTAACTCTCTGACATTATACAGCATATTGTGGAGAAAACTGCTCGTTCTCAGAGTGATAAGACCAATGTTTGTACTTCATGCCAGGGAATGGTATGCAGAGAGGCTCTTGCTTATACTTATTGCTGTAACAACCAAGGTCAGCCAATTTCGTTATTTGCCCCGTTGGAAGGTTGGAAATGGAAAAAGCATAGAGGGGTCACACCTGTAGGAAGGAACAGACAGGACAGGTGACCCAAACCTGACCAACAGGGTATTCCATCCCATCTGTATCATGCTCAGTACAAAAGCTGAGGGATCAAAGGGTCAGCTCTCTTTCTTCAATGGCCAACATCTGAAGAGGACCCTGTCAGTTCATCTGCCTGTGATCCCAATCTGTGCGTTTCTGACTCCAGAGCTGGAATACAGTTCCCATCCATTGCTGAGTCCAGTCTGGGACTTCCCAGTGCCTGCTGGTGACATCATCATCGGTTTTTTATATACTGTATTGATTTCATTATTTCCTTTTTGATTTTTATATTAATACTTCATTAAAGTAGTTTAGTTCATTCTAAATTTGTAAATCTCCTTATCTCTTCCTCTCCTCTCTTTTGAGAGGGGGGAAAGGGACATCTGTCATTCTGATTGGGCAATCTGGCCAAAAGCACGACAGATTTATTGGTGCCCAACGTGAGCCTCAAACAGAGTTCGACCAGATAAATAGCCAATAGAATAGTTTGAATTCAAGCTTGCTCAGGGAGAACAGACAGCTCACATCATGTTGTTCTTATTCTATATCGTATTTTTAGAGAGCTTTGTATGAAGTTAATTGATGCTGTGGTGTTTAACTGATCGAGTGTATTGCGTGGTTTATTTATTCTTTGTGTTTGGAAACAATATGGCTCAAGGCAGGAGACTTATTTCTGACATGCCTATTTTTCTCTCAGAGATTTATCCTTCCTTTGCTCCCCTTCGTAACTGGGGAAGCAGTGGTGTTTTCATGGCCTTTAAGGAACAACTGAGAACCCTGAATTAAGAGCCCTTCTGTGCATATCCTTATGACTGGGATAGTGTTGAAATTAATCAGCTATGGTTCTCCTTGGCCTGGAGGACTTCATGGGCAAGTGCATTGAAGCACCCATATTGTCAGGGATTCTGGATTCTTTGAAGATTATCTACAAAGCTATGTAAGAAATTACTTCCTTGGCATAGCCACCTTATCCTTATTTCAGCTAGCTGAGACTCAGCTTAGGTGTTGAATGAGAAAGGAGAAAACAAACTAGTCTGTCACTCTTCCCTCCTTAGCACAGATGGATTGTGTATTATCTCTGTCACTATCTTAGAGAATTTTGCTTTGCTTGGGTGGCTACAATGCAAAAAGTTCCATGAGTATTTGAGTTAGTCTTGGATACTGCTCTCTAGTATCCAAAAACCACTGGAGAAGTCTTAAAATCTCCTTATGAAAGTGTTGTATAGGTGCCAGTGTTATCCTTTAATTTTGTCGGGAATGTGTTCCTCTCTCTGAGGAAGAATCAGGGTTTCCTTCACAAACATTATCATCTGTCCCTCATGATTGGTTTCTCCTAGCCTCTTTTTAAAGGCCTTCAAGTCATTTTCTGACTATATCCAGCTTCGGTTTCTGTGCGTCATTGATTTCTACAGCATCTTTATAAATTGCCTCCTGATTGCATATATCTTTCAAACAAAACTTTCAACTGAAATGAAGGAGTGTTTTGTATTTATTATTAATAATAGAGAAATGTGTAGCAGCTGCAAAGGATTGTGGAGGATTAACCAGCGCTAATCCATCATGAAAAAGAAGTATTTTCTCTTGGGTAGCAAGCAACTGTCCTGGACCCCATAACAGTAGTACTGCAACTTTGAGGGTTTACGGCAATCATTAGGCAGTGGTGCAGTCCAGAGAGTGCCAGGATTGGATAACTGCAGTGTTCAAGGTGAAAAAGTATTCTATACAAAACTTGGAGCAAAGGGTTTAACCAATCCCCAGGAGCTTTTAAGGTATACTGGGGTGCAGTGATAACTGTGATGTCCTGAGGTCAGTGGGGTTGCACAAGCCAACTGGGATTGGACCGTGAGAGTTTGTGAACAATCCTTCTAAAGATGCAGGATAACAAATGGAGAGTATTTTCTTTAGCCCCTTATTCCGTAGTCTAAGGTGAGCATTCAGCGCATGATAGCTGTAGAGAAGCAATGAACCAGGACTTTAGATAAGATTGTATTACTTACAAAGTAGAATAGATTTTTTTGCTGGTCTCTATAAAAAGTTTACTAATAGTCGTGATAACTGTGTTTTTCAGAAATTCAGTACAGCTAACTGTCCTACTTCCATATCGCTTGCTGATAGTTCATACATTTTTGGTCTTCTTCAGCAATAGACATAACCATTCTATTCCAGGACTTTCAGATTTCTTTTAAAAATCTATCTTGTTAAGAGCCTTTGACAAAGATAAAAAATGCCTTTTTGGTTTTTTCCACAGGATACTATGGTGATGGCCTGAATGCTATCATTGTGTTTGCAGCATGCTTCTTGCCAGACAGCAGTCGAACGGATTACAACTATGTCATGGAAAATCTTTTCCTGTGAGTGATATGGGAACAATGTGACAGAGTCTTTCGAGTTAATACTTAGAATTATGTAATGAGAGATATCCTGTCTTTAATTAAGAGGTAATTTTGGTCATTAGAAGGGGAGTGATCTGAAGGAAAACAGCAGTTTCAGATAAACTGCTCAGTGGAGTATTATTTTGGTATTCTTTACTTACCCTCCCAAATGAAGGCATATTTGTCAGGACCAAATCTAACTGTATTGTCTCCCACGTCAAGGAATGCAGTATCTCCAGCTTCTTGGGTCTACAATCATTGCACTGTTTCACTAGTGATGTCCAGCCCTAGCTGAGAACAGTCAGTGGGGACTGAGGCCACCAGACTGGGTTGCGCTGTTCATTGTTTATTATATATTCTTATGATGTATACCATACTTTTAATGTGTGTTGTGGCTGTATTTAGGAGTCACAGGACCATTTTGTGACACTTGTTTTAAAAATACAGGATAAATGACAGTTGCTGACACAAACAGCTCTTAAGTATTTTTCTTGACTCCAGCTGCTTCTGATTGTTATAAGTGGCAGGGGCCAGTTGCACAGGACGCAGATTTGGCCACATGATCCCAAATTTATCACAGGAAAATTACTCCTAATAGCAATGTGGTTTGGCAGCCAAAAATTGTGAAGGCAGCACTCCCTGAAGTGCCTCCGGCTACTTCCCTTTACAGCTGTTAAAAAATCAATTGTTCCAGCATTTTCTGTGCTAAAACCCAGTTAAGTAATTTCTAAAGCCAGCAGAGGCCTGGCTTTTGCTATTTGCAGCTTACAAGGCACCAAGATCACAGACCCAGTCTCCTTAAAACTCCAGTTGTTGAAGATGCATGTGGTGACAGGCACTGGTGACAGCCAGTGCCTTCTACATTGTGTCTACTTGTGAAAAACAAGATTGGGTGCTTTACTTTCAGGTCAGACCAACTGCTAGCGTTTGTGTTAGAGCCTCGTAGACACCCATGTCACCTACAGTAACTGATTTACACAATGCCCAGTGATTTAGAGGGGAGGGATCACTGCAGAGGTTTTAAATTGATAACTGGGGAACAAAGCTGGGAGTAACTGTGAGTGACATTAAGTAGTTGTTCTTTGACATCACCCGAGACCCTTGTTCACAGATAGAGCTAGTGGTAAATGGACTTTGCAGAGAAAGCCTTTTCAAGCCTTAAGAACCTTTTCCACATCGCTTGAGGATATTCCCAAAGTCAATTTTATAACTCTCCATCTTTTTCTGGGATGGTAGTATATAAGAGAGCTCAGGTTGGATGTGAACCTTCTGCTGATTTGAAGGCTTATAGACTCTTGGTTCTCTGTAAGAGAGCATGAAAAGGGAAGATCAGATCACCCCTTTCTTTCAGTTGTAGCCCTATTAATTGCATTGAAATAGGAGTGCAACAGTTTACAGCGTATCATTTGATTAAATTTGATAATCATATGATTAAATATTTGCAAATTCTTTACTGTTGAATTATATAGAGGTCTGGAGAGACCTACAAATCACTAAATCTCTTCTCATTTTTAATATAGCATATTTCTGATAGATAATTGTGCACTTGCAGTACTCTAGTTTCTGATTGACAACTGTCCTCAATTGTTCATGAGTTTTCCAGTTACTTTCCCTTCTGGTTTCCCTTCACATTTCCAGTTATCTTGTTCCTGTTTGTTACCTTGACTAATCCTGTAAAACTGCCATTGAAGAGTCAAGTTTTAGTGAAAACTCTTGAGACAGCATCTTCTCAAGCACTTCTAGATGATGCAGATCCACACAGAACATTCTGCTGTTTCATTTGTGGCTACCTGATACAGTACAGAGATTAAAAGCTTTTTAAAAGAATCACAGCTGGAAAAACTACACTTTGAAATTCAAAATCAACACTTCTTGCTTTTGGAGTGAGAGAATTGTTCTAATAATTGAGAAAAATTCTGTCCATCTTTTCAAATAATAAAGAAGTGGCAATTATTACCAAATAATAAGATATTAGCAGTTAGGTAAGGTTTGCAAGAGAGCTTAGCATCCCTAAAATGGCAAATGGTCTAATTCAACCCACAGTGAATAAGAGCTGTTGAGTATATGAGATAAGTGACATCTGACTAAAAAGCTAGCAGAGCCCTTTTAGTCATAATACTCCTCTTATCCCTGGTGATAAATATACGTGATTGTTCTTATTATAACTGATTATCCATAAAATTCACAATTCCCTTTGTACCTGGGCAAACAGCCATTTTTCAGGCTGTCTCTTTTCTATGACTGGAAGGCTTGTAGTGTTTTCAGAAGTACTTACACACACTTTCCTATAGGTTTCAGTGTCTAAATGCCCTTAAAGCGCTGGATATTGTGCCCTATGGGACAGGCTAATTTCGTAACCTGTCAGTTAGTCAGTAGGTTCAGTTAAATCAAGCTCTTGGCATCCGAATGCCCATATAAATGTATGCTCAGAATGTCCCTTGTTTTGATATTTCACTGTTAGACATGAGCCTTTACAAATGTCAGGCAAAAGCAAGCAATGCACAACTGCAAGATGAAAAAGAGCACTGAAAAGCACCGAGTTGAGTAGTCATTTAGATAGGATTTATCAAATACATAGAACTGGTCTCTTAATGGCTGCCTACTTTATGCCCAGGTGAAATATCACTCCCTTTGTCGAGAACTAGATTTTCTGCTCTTCTTTTAAAGAAACTGCATCTTAAGGAATTTAAAGGTCAGATTAGATCTCAAATCATTCCCATACACCTGTGAAAGGAGCCATTATGCTCAGGGATAGAGCTGCCTTTTGTAGCGAGCACTCAGGCATTCGGGTTTTTAAGGTGTGACTTGTTATTTTTCACTGTAGATTTTACATACCTGTGCTTGGGACTGGATAGTAGAGAGAACAAATTGAACATTCCTGTAATACACAACTCCAAAGTGAGGTAGGGACCACAGAAACCTAGTGGAGCATCTCCATATATAGTCCTGGAAAAGAATTTAAAGCTACCATTTCATTTGACTGAGTACTGTGCTCCTCTAGGTAGGGTGAGTTAGGCCCCAAGAGCACTGTTCTGTCTGAATTGTCACTGAGGAATTTAATGAGTATCGGGAATGTTTTGCTCCCAAAATAAAGTGATGCCGTGAAGTGCTCTGTCCCGTCAGAAGGCAGGCTGATGGACAAGTTTTGTTGGACTTGAGATTCAAAGTGGGTGTATTCAGCAGCCGCAGACTCAGTAGCAGTAGTGTAAAGATCACAAGAATTATAGACAATTATCTTCTCCAGACCTTTATTATTTTTGCATTGAAAAAACATGACAATTAATAGTGAAGAGAAGTTTCTCAACGGTTAATCTCAAAAGTTCCTGGAACTGCATATGGTCCTGCCATGCTCTCCCTTCCAAAAGCTCATGATTTTATGCCCTTTTAAGAAAAACCAAAGTCACCTTTCAGATTTGAAAACTCACTTTGAAACTGTATCTTTGTAAGCAAGCCACATATTTATGAAGATGTAGATAAGATTGTGGTCTTCTAGTTACACATCTTCAAGTGGTGTGGCAACTAGTGCTAAAAGTCTGCATTGGTTTAAAGGAAAGCTTTGTCTTGTCTTGCTTAGTCTGCCTTGATTTATTCCTAGTAGACTGATTTAGTTTGGGCTTAAGTGGATAATGTAAAGAATGTGCTCACGTACTTCTATACTTTTATCAGCTATGTAATCAGTACCTTAGAGCTGATGGTCGCTGAAGACTATATGATTGTCTACTTGAATGGAGCAACACCAAGAAGGAGGATGCCTGGTCTGGGTTGGATGAAAAAATGTTACCAAATGATTGATCGACGGTGAGTAGTATTTTCCTTTCTTATCCACAGCCATTATTTTAAACACTGTCCATTTCTGTTACTCCCCTGTGTGATAGTGTCCACTGTACATGATCTTTGTGTATACTTTGTGGGTTCTTTGTTTGTTTGTCTTTGTTTTTTTTTAAGAAATCATTTCTGTTTTGCTTAGATTACGGAAGAATTTGAAATCATTCATAATTGTTCATCCATCATGGTTTATCAGGACAATTTTGGCTGTGACACGACCTTTTATAAGGTATGTAGTGGTTTTATAAGGTATGTAGTGAATACCAGTGATTTTCTATGTCCATAAGAATACAGTAACACCCTAAATCATCAAACATGGCTGTTAATCTTTTCACTGAAGAGTACTCATTTTACAGTTTATGTCAGGATTTTGACAGTTGAAGTTAACTTACCTAAAGTGAGTGGGGAAAAAACCCTGTGATTTCTATGAGTATCTGGTTGTAGACATCACAGGCATGATACGGTAAATCTATACATGTATGCAGAAGTGGGAATTCAGTCCCTTAAAACGGTCTTACTTCCAAGCCCAGCTAAAAGACATGTAGAAAAGGGGTCTGCATGTAATGAAAAAAACCCTGGTTACAGGGCAAGATTAAGCTACAATTCTGGGTTTAAAAAAAAATTAGCTGCTGTTTATGCAAGAGGAATTCCAGCACTCTGAGCTGTCTCAATGCATAGGAGTTCCACTTCCAAAATGTCCATTATGCCACCAAAAATAATGCTTTGATTAGTAAAAAAGCAAAGAGATGTTACGGACTCTGAAGACCTCACAAGTTGTTGAAGAAGATGGGCACCTACAGTGGTCAGTAAAATTTAAAAAAATCAAATGTGCCGTGCCTCTTTCGATTCATTAGTCGTTTACTCAGAATGACCATACTGGCAGCAGCAACTAGAGGTTTTGCATTCCCAAACAGGAGAAGAGGTTCACTTTAAATAGTTTGGCAAAGAAAATTAGCAGTACAAAACTTAGACACAATAGAGACCAGTTAAAACTATCCATTTCAGCCAAGCAGATTGAGTCTCTGTGCAAGAAGAAAGTGAAGTGCAAATGGGAGCTGAAAAAATAGGTGGGCAGGACACATGCCCAATGCAACTTTTGTGGAAGGTGACATAAGATATTTGAACCCTTCACAAACAACAGAAGGGCGCTATGAAAAAGCTGAGTAAAAAACTCAGTGAGGCATGAAGGGAGAGGCTCAAATCAGTAAAAAGCAATGTAAGGAGATAGAAAGTTGACTGGGTGGCTGTAGCTTAGTTTGCTAGCCCCAAGCTGTTCACCAAACCACTGACGTGGACGGTGGGAATTTTAGAGTAAGAAACTAATTTGTCCCAAGACAAGCAGATGTTTTCAGTGAGACAGGTAGCTAAGCATGAGCAACGTAATTTAAATTTTATTTCAACTGACACTCAGGACAAAACAGTAGGAATCAAGACATTGAAAGACAACAAAATGGCAAGGGACAGTAAAGTCACTGAGAGTGTACTACAGTCAATTCTGCCTCAGAAACTGGCAAGGTCATTCCGTGGAGTCTGGGACTCGATAGACAAACACTAAACAGTTGTCTGAGTACACAGGATGAAATAACTAGTGGTTGCAAAGACAGATCCTTGATGCTTTATGTGGACCAGATATTCAAACTAAAGGCCATCTTAGCTGTGTTAGGTAAGAAGTCAGATTTATAACAAAACAAGTGTCCACAAAAGATATTTGGCATTTGATGGAAATATTTAATTAATAGGAAGCTTACAACTATTGGCAGCATGCCCCCTCTAAAGTCTGAAAAAATCAAGGATTTCTTATTTTGGTCATATATTTGAGATGCCCATACACAGATTCCTACCTAAAGCAATTACTCAGAAACCAATCACTGTGGTGGAATTAGTAGACCCAGGAGAATCCTCAAGTGGAAAAATTAACCCTTGAAAGATTCATTTTTTTTTCTTCCCCCGGCCTCAGTCTTTAGAAGCTTCTGATTGGCTTGCAGGTTGCCATGTTACTTTAGCTGCAGTTTGGATGATGCACATTGATTATGTTAACATTTTGGATAAAATGCTAAGAATTGTCAGTATGTTTAACTGGACAGTTGTGAGTGATCCGTGCATCTTAAAACATGACCATTGGCCTGCTCCAGTGTGTGTGTGCCTAGTGATGCTAATCTGGTACAGAGACACATTAAAATGGATGAGCTTAAACAACTGTTCATGGTACCTTCATGTATTCCTGTTTCAGTTGTCTCCCTTTACTTTATTTGGAATATGTATGGTAAAGGCAGGGGCAGTAACCTTCTGCTCAGAGCTATTTCAGAGGCTTCATGTTGTCTGGTCATACCTCTGAATCAGCAGTAAACAGGAAGAATATGTTCTGTTTTTCATCGCCTACACTTAAGAAGGTTTATGATTAACGTGCATTTGTCACTGTTACTGCTGTTAAAAGACTAAATACGACCACAGCTAAATTTGGAAAATTGCTTGAGAAATCAAATGAGAAAGATAGATTTCTCATAAGCTGATACATATCAAGTGATTCAGGTTAGATAAGTGAATAGCCTTATTTTTTAATTGTGTTTTCTGAAAAATTTAGCCTTTTTCTGAGTGTCTATTTCTCAAACACAAGAAAGGATCAGATAGCACAGCTGAAATAAACAAGGGAAGTATTTATTCGTAATATGGCCCTGCAGTAAGAATAGACATGCACATACAAAATCAGATATGTAGTCAGTCCTCTAAACGAATGAGGAAGTTTAGGTTTATTGTGTTAATTCATCATGACCCCATTAAGTGAATGCTTCCCATCTCCTTTTACACATAAGTGTGCTGTAGGGGGGTTGATTCTTTTCGGAATTTTAATGCATCTCCTTCAATCTGTAAAACTAATCGCATTGCCAGGTATGTAGGCATTACAATTTATAATGTTTTCCTAAATACTGTAATTCATCCTAAGCAAGTAACAGCAAAACAGCAAAAAAAGACTTGATTTCAGCTTCAATAGAACTCAGGAATGCTCATGATCTGCCGAACTCTGTAATTGAAATATGAATAACAAGATCCTTAATTATTTAATGCATTGCATTCATGCTTTCTCTTTTAATATATCAAAAAAGGTTCTGGGGGAAAGACAGTCAGTGTGTGGTTTCCATGTTTCAGCTCTAAGTTCAGCAGTAAGATACAGTACGTCAACACATTGGCAGAGCTCCGTGAGATGATTCCAATGGAATACGTGCACATACCAGACAGTATCGTCAAGTAAGTAATGTACAGTAACTTGTTCTAATGGATACCATTTCCACAAACTACTAATAGTGTTTCAGAGTCTCTAAGAAAAGCAGAAAGCTCCTTCTTGATGTTGTTGCAATGTGTGTTGTTCCACGAAAGTTCCAATGCCAAACTCAAAGGCAGGAGAACGCTGAAATGATGAAGCACAAAACACAGTAAGTATGTACTCCCAGGGGAACCAGTGTTTACAGGCAGAGGAAGGTTTCATACCAGACCAAATGATACTCCTGGTAAAATGAAGAAAAACTTTCACGTTCAGAGTCCCTCCAACAACCCCGTGACTATATAATCCGGACTGGAAAAGACCGTTCACTCACTAGTTGCAGCAGCCCAGAAAGAAAATAAGAAATAAGTTTAACCCTTCTGCAGGTATCACCTATGCTATATTTTGCCATGACTTTTACCACTATTTAAGTAAAAGTGTTTTTAAGTTTTAGTCATAGAGAGCTTTGAACTGAAACAATAATTCAAAGATAGCCTGTTCAGTAGAAAACTATTGACAGACCATAGATAACACTGTTCCTTGTCTGGTAGGTTTTCATGGTTGAACCAGAACCACTGAAAGGCAGTTCTTGCTTCTTATGTGTAAAGGTTTTTTAAATGAGGATGTTTCTAAAGGAAAGATATATAGTAAAAAATTGTAGGAAGTTGATTTGAATTGCTTGACTCAACTGGCTTTTTTTTCAGACCTGAAAACAAAAACCTGAAATGGTATACCAAGGCTGAAAACTTTGGAAATCAATCACAGTTTTCATGTGGGTCATTGTTTAAAAGATAGGCTGTTAAGGAATGCTATTTTTATTATATTTTTTTAATCAAATCTCCTATGTTTTGAACAGGCAAGCAGGCTGTACTAGAAAGTATTTTGATGAGTAAATACACAAGTATGATTGTCTTTACCTTATGGTTTGTCAGTCACTAGGTAAGAAGAACACTTCTCTTGGAGCTGTCATAGATCTCTTCAACCTACCCAGGAGTTTTCACACCTGCCTCACAGTAGTTGCCAAACAGCCTAATTTCCTTCGTCATGATAGTGGTTGCTCTGATACTTGTGGTGTACTTGCAGGGAGCAAGTGGGAAGCTCAAGTCTTGCATTGGCACTTGTAAAAGTAGTAAATTACAGTTGTGAAATCAGGGACCATAGGGACTTTCACTCAAGTTTATTTGCTGCTGTAATTTCTTTAGAGGTGGAACGATGCTAAGAATATGGAGCTCAGGAGTCATTGGTCACCTGATATAGGGATGTCCAGGACGTTTTAATGTCCCTAAAATTTTTTCACCCTCCCTCCTTCTCTCCCTCCCTCCCTCCCTCTTCTGATTCTTGTAAACATTTTAGTTTCTTATTGTTCTCTCTGATACAGACCTTAACCTGATAAATCAGTGTGTTTCTATGTTTCTACTGTTACACTGTCTGTAGCAGTACGTATAGCTGTGTCACACCCATCTTTTCTTCCCTATGGACTGAAAACTGTTTGGAAAGTCCATTCACCTCTCAGGCCAAAGATGAAATGATCACAGCACCAATACCAAAGAAACTTTGGGACTTAGAGCTTAAGAAATTCTAGATAACTGCCTACTTCCTGTCATCAGCAGGAAGGTCATGATTTTGCTGAAGAAAAAAACTCAAAAGGTGACAAGTGTGCCCATTGGTGGCAAGCATCTTCAAGATGCTGTGATACGGAGTGTGATATTTAGTGGGTGTGTGCTTTCAAGGCACTGAGTAGTCATTCCCATGCCACGAGGAGAAGAGCAGTGTTCAGCTGATAGCTTCCCTTCTGCTGCCGATTGAGAACGGTTCCTGTAGCAAAATAAAATAAAATTGAACTTCTGGCTTCATAATTGCTCCACTTGCAAGAACAGAAAAAACACTCTCATCAAGAAGAATCCCATCTGTAGAAAGTACATAGGGTTATGCCAGGATTTGGGTTGTGTGGTTGGTTGGCAGTTTTTAGAGAAGCGGGATACAATGTGCCTGTTCTATCATATGAACTTGTACATCTTTTCTTTTCCTTCACCCACTCTTATCTTGTAAGGTATGATGAAGAGAAGTATATTAAGAGAAGAATGAGGTAAAACTTGCTTTCTGGCCCATGCTGCTGCTCATAATGGAGTGAATCTGTGTGACAGGCTTTCACCCGCAGGTGACCTCAACAGCTGAATGAGAGAGGACTTGCAATGATGTGGAATCTTACATTCCCCTTCAAGCTGTTGAGATCAGCCTCCCTTGTAAATAAAAAGTTACTCAACTGTAACTTTCCTTGACTTGGCCCAGGCTGCAGCTAGTTTAATACTATCTGGTAGAGCAACTGAACGCTTTCGGCTCTGTCCACTGGGCATGCCTCAGATCCCTGCTGCTTTTATGTTTCTGCCTCCAAATGAGCTAAATAAGGAGTTACAAATGAAAGGTGGGTTGAGCACAAGGATAAGTGGTATCGTACTGAACTGAAGAGCTTTAGAGTCAGTGCCTAATACTGGGTGTCTATTCTAGAAGCATGTACTATACTTGTTCTTTGCTCTGCTATTGCTCTGCTTCTCTCTTATGCTCTGCTTGCTTCTTTGTTTCTTTATATCAATAACTTTTACTCATGCAGACTGGATGAAGAGCTGAGGGAAACTTCAGAAACAGCTAAGTAAGACAGCTTTCAGCTCAATGCTGGCATTATGTTTACTTGGTCCACAGGAATGGGTTGAATGCAGTAGTACATTCTGTGTTTGGTGCAGCAATCATAATTTCAACTACTGTGTGAGTTGCCACATTTGTGAATTGACTTCCCCTCTCACTGTAAGCAGCCTGCTTTTGTACCACTGGCTCTCAGTAAGGAATAACCATACCCTCACACTATTAAAAAACATTTTTGCCATTTTTTGGTGATTGTTCTCAGAGTCATAGGGATGACTGAAATAACATTTTTACTCTATTAAATTGGTTCATTAAACATTTTCTACCCTTCACCTGTTGTGTCAGGTGATTCATAAAGTTTTTAGGAGGGAGTTCTTTTTAAAAAGTGTTTTTTACAGTTTACTAAATTAGGGATAGCTTTTGTACCTCATTCTCAGTTAGGGTAGGTAGGTAACTTTTCCTCTCTTTCCAGTGTTGCTTGGATGGGCCAGTAGATTAATACTTGATAATGTTGTATTTCTATGGTCAATTAATAAATCAGTGTCAGCTGGTGATCAGATGGTTTAAACTTGTAATTCTGTGCTTTAACTTTAACATACTGGGGCAGTATGGTGTAAAGCATCACAGAAATCCTTAACTGGAAGGACCACAGTCCTTGACTGACTGAGCAGAGCATAGAAGGCACCCAGTGCACTTTTTTCACATGTGTGTCGAACACAAGATTCCAGATAAGGGAGGTGTGTCTGTCAGTTCTAGTATGAAATTTTCCCTGTGGTTTTTGAAACAAAAGATTTTGAAGTTTTGAAGTTTGTTTTCGGTCCTTCTTTAGCACTTCAGAATTTTCATCTTACCACTTCTTTGTTTTATTTTTTCTAAAGTTTCTTCTTCCATGGTACACATTTGCCTCTGCTTCTCCTGAGATTAGCTTTTAAAACAGCCTCCAGGAAAGACCTAAAACACTGCTTTTTTATTCTAGCAGTTAGACTGCCTCAGAAACAATAACTTTACATAAGTAGTTATCTGATACCATCTGAATATTTTGTTAAGCAAAAGAGGCCCACCCAACCTTGAAATGCAACTACTATCCCTCTATTCAAACATTTTCAAATGCATTGTAGTATAGGACAATGAAAACTCTGTGGAAGAAAGCTGCTTTCTTGTTACTCCTTCCATTTAAAGGACCGCAGACTGCAGCATAGGAGTGAAAGGGGAACTAAATATTCATATGAGGCATCACTGATTATTGTTATTGTTGGATGTATGAAGTCACTGTAGTGCATTTCCCTTCCCTAACTTAAAGAAATAGCTTAAAAATTTATTACTCAAACTAATTTGTGTTGCAGGCACTAAGCTCACTGCATTCCTATCAATAACTTTTATGTGTTTGTGCCGTCAAAGATACTCACTACAGTTAGTTATTACATCCCCCAAATTTGATGTCATACTTAAAAAGAGAAAGAAATACGCACAGATGAAATGCTTACTTCTACCTCTTTTTCTTTGTACCCAGAACTAGCTGCCTCTCAAATGATCCAGAAATTACTTCAGTGGAGCAGGAGTAAGAATTTACGCCTAATACTGTCATTACATTTTAACATTATTTTACAACCATACTGCTAGGAACTGAGGCTGGGTAGACTCCACAAAACTTCCTGGAGACCTAAATGCTTTTATAGTTACTTTCAGGAACTTGATTCAACATATGCAAGCAGAAAAAGCACTGAAGTTAGGATTTATGATATTTGCATTGCAGATGTGTTTAAGTGTCCTCGGCCATTTCCAAGCAGAGGCGGAGAGAATTCTTAGCCTGAGGATATGCAGGTTAGGTTATGTGAAAAACAGATAGGAAAAGGGCAACAGGATCAGAGTGAAGATGGTCCCATGCATTATCCTCAATTAAAATTAAAGTGGTAAACTTGCAATTCTCATTGGGAGATTAAAAAGTCTTATATTTCACTTTGATTTCTGGGTCGTGTCCTTGATGTCTTCCCTCTCTTTGCTTTTTGTGCTTCTCAGCTTCTTTCATAATTATTTCCCTGACTAAATCCCCCATGTCTTTATGTCTCTTCCTTTCAAAGCTGGGCTGCTTCCCTTGGACATGGGGATGTGTCAGTCCTCTGGCACACTGTTCCTCTGTCTGATGCTGTAACTGAAGCATGCGAATGGGAAACCCAGCGCTGCTCTGACTGTGCATCAGTGAGGGTGTTTGTAGCTGCAGTGTGTCATACAAGCACTAACAGGTTTTTTTGCTAGAATACCATGTCAGGAGGATTAGCCACTGCAGCAGCGTGTGTATTCCCAGCCACAGTACTTGGGACGAGGGTTTTGCTGTCCCCTCCCCGTCTAATTGCTGTCTCACACTGGAATATTGTTCCGGAGTAGCATGTAGTAAATCTGACTCCATCAATAACACCACTATTAATAAGCAGGCAAGTAATTAGAAATACATGCAGCAAACAGATCCGTAATTAAAATGGAGCTTCTACAAAGGTTAAGACCATAAGGTGATTCCTGGTTCCTAGAGCAGTTGACATAAAACCTCTGAGCATCTTCTTTTTTGTTTCTCAGACACTGTTTGTTCTGTAATGAGTCAACATGAGAACGTCTTGTTTTAAAGTATGAGAACAGAAAACAAATAACATGTTAAAGACTATTTATTAATGATTTTTTACTTTTTGTGGCTTGAACAATTTTCCTGTTTTTTCTCAAAAAAGAAGCTGTATAGCAAAAAGCAATATGAGAAGAGAATATATTGTAGCTTAAATAATTATAGTTGAGGCCAAATGAATGCTAATCTCTGCTATTTATTTTCTCTGCATAAATATGAATCTGTCTGTGGAAGGGGCAATAATTTTATTGCGGTCATACCAATCATTTCTGTGTAAATGCCACCATGGTGGTAAGAACAGTTTTACACAGACTTCTCTCCCCCATACTTTCTGCTGAAACCTCTCTGGAGTCTGCCCAGCTCTTAGTTTGCTTCTGTTGTCTATTCCAAAGGCTTTTGTCTATTATTGTCTTCTCTTGTGTTCTATTTTGTTCAATTTCTTGCACTTCTTCATAATTTTGAAAAAAAAATTCATTATGAAATAGTTCACCATGAAGAACCCCTTGTGTTCTGTAACAGTTAATAAATATCAAAAGTACTTTAAATAGTTATGTATTCTATGATGAAAATTGTATTTTAATACAATGTTTACGATGACAACATCTTATTCTAAAGAATACTTCTAAAGTATTTGATGACGTGCTTTGCACTAAATGGCAAAATTGTTCTTCTAGAAACATTTTTAGGAGCACCCATGTCTTGCCACACTGTTGTGTCATTCCAGCAGTGGATCTTTCCACATCTGGTGTCTACCTCAGATTCAGATTGCTAGGAATGTAGTTATTAATTTCAGTAAAACAGTAACAGATCTTATTAATGTATGTGTTTTCCATATGTAGTAGATAGGATGCATGTAAATTATTTGGCACGGATGTATTTAAGTAAGTGAGAGATAAGGATGCTTAATACTTCGGGGGAGCTCAAGATGGTGGAATTTGAGCCATGTGTTTCATAGCACTGATTTCTTTCTTTGTTGTTCTTTTGTTTTGTTTTTTATTTTTGTCTTTAATGTATAGCATTGACATGACCCTGAAATAAAAATCATCGCTGCCAGGCATTTCAAGAAGAGGATTCACTTGGATTTTCATCACCCAGACACCCATGACCATGATGTACAATAGGCAATTTGGGTTAATTTTGTTTGGTTTATGATTTTTCTGTGTCATTCAGCTATTCAGGAAGACCAAAAGGGCCAACCCTGTTGCCATGGAAACAGCAGAATTTTGGGCCTGGTTATTTGTTGTGTTTTCAGCAATAGAGGTTTCATTAGGAAAGCTGTATCATCTAGCATTGCTTTCTCTGTGTATGCAAGTTTTGTTTAAAAGGATACCATTTTACCAACAGTGTGCCTCATGAGCAAGTCAATGAGGATGTAGATTTTTGTTTCATTCTTGTCTTCAGCGCATTAATGTTTATGCATAGCTGAACAGAACAGTTATTGTAACAATAAACATTAGCTTGGTTGTGTCACAGAGCAGCAGCAACTTTATTGTTTCAAAATAATTCTAGAATTAGGACTTTCTTGGACTTGTCTATTTATCACTGTCTGAGAAGTATGTCCATGTTCATTTTAACCCTGATGACTTCTTTATTTGACCACAGAAAAGACTGGTACACTAAAAAAATAATAATTAATGATCAAACATGCTTCCCGGAAGATGAGTAACTTAAATTAATTTAATTTTAATAATTTAGTATGTTTATTTTAGGGATAGTTTTTACAGAAGCAGCTAATCCTGTAAATTAACGTCAAAGAGTCTAAAAGCTTTGGAGCATTAATTTGTTACTGTTGTTTTTTAAATCTGTTTTTCCAGAACTTTTTTTTTTAAGTTACAAGTCTTCAAATGGCATTATAACTCAAATTATAAAGGCTATTAATGATATGAATATGAAACAAGTACTTAGTTTTTCCTACTAACAGCTGAAGATTACATGTATAAATCTACAGTTGAGAGTCACACTTATTTGTCAGGAACAGATGTCAAAGTATTATTCAAAGTGTGTCTAATATAAAAAAAATAAGTATTACAATGCAGTTTATTGTCCGGGTCATACAACACAGCAGTAAAAACATGAAAGGGAGAAAAAACCTTAAGTGATTCTTGTTTGCTGCTTTCATGTGTAGTGGCACAACAGACACTGCAGTGGAAGTCCTTGTACTCACTGGAAAATAACTGCAGTCTCTCAGACCGTTCTTTTGCAAGAAAGTGCAAATTAATTGTCAAGTGAATTCTGCTTCTCTGCTTTAAAAAGAGAAGAGTCAAGAATACGACTACTGCTTTCTCTTCCCCTAATGAGCACACGCAATGTGCTTTCCAAACCTGCCGAGTCACCTGCCTTTGGGGATGTCCTGGCAGAAGTACCAATGTTACCCACTCTCTGAAACATTACTCTTTGTCTTCAAGAGATTCTCATTATGCCCTAGAATTACATCTGTGGATTCTCTGCTTTGTCTGTAAGTAAGTCCTTAGCCATAACAATTCAAGATAGTTTGCACCTTCTTTTTATGTGTGCACTGACTCCAGTCCTGCCTCAAGTCCAGAATTATTAATTACAGAGAAGACAAGCAAAAGTTTTCTTGGGGGATACATTTTGAGCAGAAGGCAGGACAGGATGAGGCTTGCTTTTTCAGCAGCATCTAAACTGAGAGTGAAAATTATATTTCGCCCTTCATTTAAAAGGTTGGGTTTTGGTGGTTTTTTTTCCTGTGGTGTGCACATTTCCACCTCTGCCAGAGTGTTTCTTCCCTTTGCAAGGCGGTCTGGCGGGCCAGGCAGCAGCCATCCCTCCCCGCGTGCGCAGTGGTTTGGCTACCATCGTGGAGATTGGCAAAATGGTCGGAGAGGCAAGAACTTTCCAAGTGCTTTTTTTGCCCGCCAGCATCCAAACCCTGGTACCCACCCCTCTGCAGCCCTTTCTCTGTGCCGGCCGGCGGCGCGCTGTGTCCCTGGCATGGCCAGCCTGCCCCGGCACATCTCCCTGTCAGGTTCCTGGGAATTTTCACAGAGGAAGGGCCTGATCCTGCTGACCCTTGTTGCTGCTCTATAACCTTGCCCTAAGTTAGGATCTGGTAGTTTCCAGTGTTTCTCAGATATTTGAATCTTGGCTTGTGTCTGCCTTATCAAAGTGCTGTCACTTAGAATATTGGGGATAATGTTTTATGTACAGATTAATATTTGTATTAACTTCCAAATGCTAATTAAGCTTCACCTAGATCTAAACTATTAAAAGCATTTAGTAGCATGAAGTTACATCTTCTGTAGACCTGTAGTTTAAGCCACCTAGAATGAGCCAGGCGATTTCTGTTACGCTGTAGGTGAGAAAAGCGTTCACCGAGAGAGAAGTTCATCACAAAGCAGAGCTTAAGCTCAAATCTTTACACGCTGTTTGACACCTAAGTGGGTTACGTGGGGTATGTGGTCCTAGTGGCAGGTGTCAGCTTATAGACGAGTTTAATTCTAAAGGCTTTGTATGAAATTACTAAACAGCGAAGCTCTACATTAATTAATATTATTAATGTGGGTGGACTAGTAGTGGCAGCCTGAGACAGAAGGAGTTTGTTTAAGACAAGTGTCACTTCAAAATAAAATGGGGCATCAATGTGAGGGTGCAAAAATGATTGCAAGATCTAGGTGTGCTTGATACTCCCGCTTATTAATATATTTTGAAAAGTTTTTTAATGTTATGATATGGCAATTCTACATTATACTAACAATAATGTATCAACATTAATAAATCAGTAGTTTGTTGAAAGAGGAATATAGTACATATAACTGCACAGATATAATCTTTTATATACAGATTTTTTCTACTGTGTATCAGAGTGCTCAGATAAAATATAAATTAATAGTTGTGATTTTTTTTTTTTGTTAAAAGACCTATGCTGACTTAAATTATAGATTAAGCAATACAAGGATATCTAATATCATTGTATGCGTATATATACATATAAATCAGAAATAAAGAACTGCAACCTACCACTGGAAGTATTTCCTTTCAGCTAGAAGTTGTTTTCTTTATTCCCTGGGTGCATAGAAACACGTGGCTATTTCAAATTACAGTTCTTTGCATAGTTACAAATATTTTTTTTCTGTTCCCTACCTATCCTTCCAAAAGTTGAAACTGAATCAGTTCTGCATCTCATGATATTACTCTCCACCTCCGTATATTCAAATCCTTGCTTCGCTGATAGTAGCAGTATTGTTCCCAAAAGAAAGGATCTCTTCAAATTCCTCTCTAATTTATATATATATGCTGTTATCTAGAAGTCAAATGCATAGATAGTCTCGCTCCATCTCACATGGTAGGCAGAAAACAGAAGCTACGGGGCAGAAACAGGCTGCCTCTGAAACTACCCTGAGCAGTTTAACAACCTCATTGGCTGCAGCAAGGGAAGGACACTGGTGGATGTTTGGTCCTCTCACCTACCTGGCCCTCTCTTTTTCCAGTCTACATCTGTGTCACATGGGTGAATTTATACTGCCACTACTTTAAGTAATCCTGGGAGACTTTTGGAGAGCTAACCTGGTGCATTGACCAGTGAGGCCCCAGGTATGAGTTAAAAGGGGATAACCTATGACTTCTTAATTGCCACGCAGCTGCAAGCAACCCTGTGAGTGCTTCTGCACCTTTTCAGTGCAAAGTCAAAGAAGCTGGATTAAACTAACCTTTCATGCTTGTTGAAAATAGCCTCCTTGACTATCAATAGGGTTGAAGATCTATCATATCCTAAAGGCTGATAATTTATGGCTCAGAAGAAGTCTTAATTATGGCCATGTAATACAAAAGGAGTGCTGCTAGTGCTAGATTTCAGGAATCTTAAATTGTGTTTTGGTTTTAATTATCTTTTCCCGGGTCCTTCCAACCTAATTTAATTACAGTTTAAATGTTGATCTCTGGTGTGCAGTAATATGGGATTGTTTATACTCTAAATCACAGGAGATGGAATAGGCTGTGCTTAAATCCAGCTGTAATGCTGTAGCTGGGAAAGCTGTGGGTCATCCTAATGCCATCAAGTTGTTGTAATGAGAGCTCAGATATTTTCACTTCCTTACCTTCTGTGAGCCTCACCACCTGGCAATTTATGTCTTCCAGTAATTTGACGAATGTTTTCTGAGTGCTGATGAATGGCTTTTGTAGCTGGGAACACTGGTGCAATAGACACATCTATTTATACAATGAGAGGCTGAAAATGCAATTAAGTAATAATACAGAAGCTTTATTGTCAAAAAGGCAAATCCTAGTATATTAACTGTTGACGTCTTCCTGGTCTCTGATAGTCTGCTAGTAGTTCATGTTGTGAACATTTGGGACATCTTAACATTTTTCTCAAGAAAAAAGGTGTAAAAGTACTCAAACTGTATGTTCTGCTCATGTGTTGTCTCTTCAAGAGTGGTAAAAAAAAAAAAAAGTTTTCTCATTGACTTTCAGTGGAGGGTTGCTGGGAAGTTAAGTTTTCAGCACAGTTCAATGGCATAAAATAAAGCATATCATCTGAAAGGGAAACCCATTGCCATGCAGTAAGTTAATGTTACCATGCATTTCCCAACTGTGTTAATTTCCTGCCTCGCCACTTCTTTTATTATCCAAGATTTTTATATTATCCAAGATTTATATTGCTGTTAGTTCAGCCTTTAGAGCTAAAGCAGAAATTGATGATGTGGATTGTTTTCTGTATGGGAGAACTAGTTTGACAAGCTGAATGCAAGATACTGTGAAAGGAGACATATTTATTTACCAAATCTCAAAGTAAGTTGATCCCACTCGCCCCCCCTCCTCCTCTGGTAGGCTTCATTCACTCACACTGTCACACCCACAAGCTTCAAAGCACCAGCACATGAGTTCCCAGGGTGACCTGACCACATAAAGGACAAGAGCCTCGTCATCTTTCTCATTTCTTTTTACTGCAGACAGCAAACTATTTTGGGGGTGTGGGGATTTTGAGTCCCTGGTACAATTTAGGGGCCAGTAGCTATTATTGGGTGGTCCTGTGCTTTAGAGTTATGCTTCCTTCAGGTCTGATAAGTCTGAGGCCACTTTTTTTTTCATTTGTTTGAAGTATATGTTTGTTCTCTTGGTGGGTAATCACATGCATCCTGTATGTGATATCCTGTAACCTTTCTGCCACCCTCCAGGTGTTTGTTAGGTGGCAGAGTCTTCCACTGACAACCTCTGCTCTTCCCAGGGTGCAGGTCTTACGGTCCTGACATTAAAAAAAAACAGATTCCTTGATTTTACTGCTGGGAGCAGTGTCCTGGGAGGTGTGTCCTGGTGCTGTTTGTCGCTGGTCCCTGGTGTTCTTTGAACCCTTCTGCTGCTGTGTTTCCCCCTGCATTCACACACACACACATATTTCCATTCATACTGATCTCATTTGTTCTGTCACAAATTTTTACAGCTTGGCAGGACAAAGAACCGCAGTTATGCTGTCGTTAGTCAGGAAAGTGCTGTTGGCAGAGCTGTTGGGACTCATCACTAGGTATTAGAATATGGGAGGGAAAAAAATTAAGGAAATCTGGTTTCTTAATGAAATAAAGTAGTAAAGATTCTACAAGTGTAACTTGTGTACAAGTTGGGAAATAATCCAATATTGTTATGAGTCCCATGGCAGATTATTGTTATTATTGTTCTGCCAAATTCAAGGACCTGAAGCAAAATGCAGCAGAGCCTGCTGCCTCTTCTTAATTCCTCTTTGCTTTCCTCAATTTAAGATAACCCTATTAAACACAGCTTGGTGGAAGTGAGACAGAACACCTCTAAAGGTGTATAGTACATAATAATACATTTAAATATGTGGACTGTTACAACCCTTTTGCTGTACCTTTGCTGGCTGTTGCTGTAGCAATTATTATGGTTAAGAAAAAACACAGATGACTGAGTTTACATGTACACTTGCAATCTCACTTTTCTCCATTGTGGAAAATCCAGTGTCATGGTCTTTTAGGCAAGCTGGGAGTAACAAGGCAAAATTATGATGTATTTTTCTTTAAAGAATGAATATTTTTTTTTAATGAAGAATTTAATACTATTATGGGATTGCCTCTTTTTCTGAAGAAAGATGTTCAAACAGTAACTTCATAAATATTATTAGAAAAAACTAATTTCATGTGCTAAAGCATGCATACATTAACATTGTTAGCAAGGTATTTGTTGGTGTCAGTGGACTAAGATTTTTGGTCTTAAATGCAGAATTAACGTTAGGCATGAGAATGCACTGTACCGTGTTATCATTAGATTTTGCATCATATTTGGATTATGAAGTTAGAAAGAATGACATTTGTAGCCAGTATTTATGTATGATGAACAAGTAATTTGAATCCAGTACAGCACTATTTCTGAATTATTTTTGAACACCTTGAGGCCCCAAACCAATAGTCCCACATCTCTGCCCTAACATTAGCCAGTAACCCATGAAGTCTTGGAAGTAAATGACAGCTCCAGAGAATGAGGTTCCTTTTGTGTTTTGAGATGACCACCTGTGACCTTGGTGGTGGGCTGCTGCAGAAAAAAGAAAAAAATGTATTATGTCTCTCCTATAGTACCTAGTCTGTCAGAAAGCCTATTGACCTCTAGGATTGTCATGCCACACTGTTCAAAGGAATTCAATTCAGGTGAAGAAATAAAAAGCATAAGCTCACTTCCCAGCATTACCTGTTCAGCCAAGTTTCAACTTACTACAAAAATAGAGGCAGTTAAAAGAAAATTGAAATCAGAAATGTCAGAACTTTTATCTTCTTGCTGCTCTATTGTGTACTTCAATAGGCAGCAAGCAAAGCAGCCTCCAGCAAAGCAGGAAAATAATCCACAGAGTACTTCCCACACCGCTCCCCGAGGCCTGATATGTAAAGCAGATCCCCCCTCTGTGAGAGAGTGACTCAGAAAATGAAGTGCTGGCTTTACATGCAGACCTGTGTTAAGCCATCAACACTGTAAACTTCATCTCTATGACTTCATCTCTGTTTTCAGCCCTTTGAAGTTTAAGTAACGTTGCATTAAGCAGTCAACCTAAAGAACACAGAGAATATTAATGTGAGATTTGGGCTTTGTAAAAGAAAAAAAAAAAAAAAAGGAAAAGGAACACAGCTAAATTGCCGGTCTGGAAAAGGAAAAATAAGGGAAGGAAGGACAGGTCAGGAAAATGACCAAGGGGAAGGTAATGTAACAGACATCTTTCTGCTTAGGGCTCCAGCCTTCTTCCAAATTCTGATTCTCCTTGGGGAAAGCTTCTGAAACACAGCAGGCCCTGTTTGCCTGGAGCCTTGACTCAAAAGAAGTGCAAGTCAGCTCTGTTCCAAATGTTCTTTTTTCCTCATTTAAAGAAATGATGGAATCCCTAGAGACAAATACTTTAATCTGGCTTTCACTCGGTGTAGAATAAAACCCTCTCAGCCCCTGTGTAAACTGAACAGAAGAGGAAGCTGGAAAAAAATGGGAAAGGTTGCATGAATTTAGAAAACATAATTACATATTTCCCAGTCACTTGCACAGGATAAGCATGAAGACATCGTAAGTGTGAATAAGGAAACAAATTAAATATAGAAAGGAAAGAGCAAGATAGAGGGGCATATGGAAAAAAGTCTTTCATAGGAGAAAATAGCTGCAGGAGAGAAGTGACAGAATAGGAGATGAGCTCTGCCAAAGAGGATAAACAGAGACAAGAAACGCAATGTAAAAAAAATAAATGCTAATTGCCTCAAAAGAGAATTCCTGTGATATTTAATGAGTTAGTAGCAGTGGAGAAGCTCCTGAAGGTGTTTCAGTGGTGTATGATGGCATAGACATATATAGCAATAAAGGATTTTAAGTTACTCGTTCACTCACTTCCTCGCTGGAAGAGAAAATCAGTATGGGGAAAGCAAGTGGATTTAACACTGTGCAGCTTTTGGGATCAAACACCAAAATTACCGAGACCTTGCCGATCCACTAAAGATATTCTTTAACTACAAGAGATGGTTTTAGTGTTTTTCACAGAATTCCATCACTGATA